CAGAACCTGAAGATACACTTTAAGAGCGATAAAGTTCCTTCCCAGTGAATGGGTGATACATCACTAAAACATTTTTGAGTAGCAATGTAACTATTGGTCATTTCCTTTTTGCTCACTCCTCTGTTCTAAAGGCAATCTACCATGTCTTACTTATTAAAAATAAGTAAAATTTTTAATTTTAAAATGGTGTCCTTTATTGAGAAGAGCTTCTTAAAGTTCTAATTCTGCATAGACCTTATCAATGTCAAATGCTCAGTGCCAAGCGCAGCTTCAGAAATAAATTAGAAATGTGCAATTTTTAAGTCATAGCTTTTCCAGATAATTCTCATGCCTCGTCCAGGGTTCTGGGTATCCCTGGATGTTCCAGGGTTCTGGAACATACACATTTTTCAGACTGCCTCTAAATTAAACTGAGAGATATTTACCCAGGTCACACTTCCTGTGCTTCACATATTAAGGCTGATTTTGCTGAATGACTCTTTAGATCTATTACAATGTAAGAAACAAATTCAATAGACTTGATCTAGAGATGTAAAGAAATAGCTTCAATAGGCTAATCTAGAGATATGCACATCAGAAGAGCATAGAGAGATGAAAGATAAATGTAGATGGAGAGAGAGAGAGAGAGCTGGATTCATGACAGATGGGTGGATGGATGGATGATTGGAAGGACGGTGAACAAAGTTGGACTGACAAAGATCTGGACTGATGAGAGATATGGTACACATAGATGAGAGGATGGGTGAATGAATAAATAAAGGATGGATATGCAGATAGCTATAAGATGATCCAAGAGCTGGATTGAGAACAAATATATACATGGATAGATGACAGTTGGATGGATAAAGTACAAATCTTACACAGGAACAACCAGCCATCCTCTTGCCAAGACAAAAGAGCTGCCTCAGTTGCTTAGCAACAAACAGTTGAGTGTTTTTATCTTCTTCTCTCAACCTTCTAAAGACAAACCAAACACCACTTCTTCTCTAAAGTCACACAGAGGAGCCATCTTTCCTTTGTTGGTTTTCTTTCATCTTTGGACATTAAATCCTGGAACTAATTGAGACCCCTGCACCCCAACCTTTGTACAGTCTGTGGACAAACTTGAAACCAAATAATGCCCAGTTTTTTGTACAGAATGTCTATGTTTGTACTTTGTAAATTGTGTGTATGCGCGCGCGCGCGTGTGTGTGTGTGTGTGTGTGTGTGTGTGTGTGTGTGAATTTTGCCCCTGCTTTCACTAACTCTATTAGTTCATACTTCAGTTCATGTTTACCGGGAGCCAAAATGTCAGTACAGCCTGACCTGCAATTTAGGAACTAATCTCTTCTTGGAAAAATATTAAAATACATTGTGTAAATTTCTGAGCTACGCCCAAGATAACTGCCATGAGCCCACCATTAGGGCTCACACCCTGATTCACTGAAAATCTGCATGCTTTGTTAATTCCCCATTTTTCCCACTTGAATATCTGAATGTCAATCAATGCATTTAACTATGTGGAACTGCATAAGCCAGAGAACTCTGGTTTGAAGAATTCTGCCTCTGTATGCAGCACACCCTTCACTACAAATGGCCTAAATAAGTCACCTGGATCCAAGTTTTAGGGCTAAAGGAATAGAGCCAACAACTGGCAGGCAGCACCTGCAACCTCACAGCACACTGGAAAAGTAACTGCATTGTTCAATGAAGCTGTTTATGTCTGTGCTTGAAAGAGAGAGAGAGAGAGAGAGAGAGAGAGAGAGAGAGAGAGAGAGAGAGAGAGAGAAAGCACATTCTAACATCTGTATAAGCACACATACGTGAAGCTTGACCAATAACTGAAAGACTCACAACTTACAAAATTGGCCACAACTAGTTCTCTTACAAACACTATTAACCGAATAACTGCCTGCATTGGTGTGAAGCAATGGAATAGGGGAACAGCTGAAAGTTTCTTCAGGGGATGAAATCTTGACTCAAAGCCAGAATATGGCCCAACCCGTGCTGCCAGTCAACATTTAATGAGCACCTACTACAGACCAGAAATGCAGGGGGTTCTGATTTGATTATAGTGATCCTTTCTCTTCCCTGTGACACTACTTATTCTGCTTTCCAAGCATTTAGACAGCCAGAAGTTTGATCTTCATGTGCCTGGGCGTGTAACTGCATGAAGAACCAGGGAAAGCAACACCACACCAGTGTCCTCAAGCTTATGGTGTCATTTCCGGGAACTCAAATCTTTGTCTAAACTGAAGAAATTATGTTCTTAGGGAGGGAGGTGAGGACTAGGGCAGGCTTGCATGCGTGTCCTTTGGGTTTCCAACCCTCTCTTCTCCCCAGTCAGCATCCCACCCCCACCCCAGGGGCAGCCCCGTCACCCTGAGTGGCACCCCGGACACTGGCATCCCCAGTTCCCCACATGCAGCAGAGACCACCTCCCACTCTATGGCATGTCCCAAGGCGAGAGGCCTCCTCCACAGTGAGCTCAGCGGCTATGTGCAAGCCAAGCAGAGGTCTTCAGCGCAAAGGCCAACTGCTTTGGAAGGAGCATCAGGTGCAAGGGTTTCCTCCCCGTAACACATGCAGTAGCCTGCGTCTCTACCATCGCCCTTTGTGTTTAGGGGGAAGAGGGACTCACCCAGCAGTGTTCATGGATCACACCTGGCTCTGTGCTCAGTGGTCACCATTGACAATGATTGGGGGGGGGGGGTCCACATGCAGTGCTGGGGATCAAAGTGCTTTAACCCGTGCACTATCTCCCTGGACCCTCTGCTGCTGCTTGCAGTCTGTCTGCAGGGGAGGCCCTTCCGGACCAGCCTTTTGCTACTGAAATTCCATCTGTCATCTGTTCCATCAAAGAAGCATAGAGATTCTCCGAGAGAGAGAGGGAGGGAGAGAGAGGGAGAGAGAGAGAGGAAAGGGAAAGAAAGAGAGAGGGAGGGAGGGGAAGAGAGGGAGAGGGAGAGAAGGAGAGAGATGGGGAGAGAGAGAGAGGGAGAGGGAGAGAGAGGGAGATGGAAAGAGAAAGGGAGAGAGATGGAGAGAGATGGAGAGAGAGGGAGAAAGGAAGAGAGAGAGGAAGGAGAGAGAGGGAGAGAGAGAGGAAGAGGAAGAGAGAGAGGGAGAGCAAGAGAGGGAAAGAGAGGAGGAGGAGAGAGAGAGAGAGAGAGAGAGAGAGAGGGAAAGGCTCCATGCCAGGACATGGGTCAGATGTTTCATGCTGATTCTCTTATTTAGAAAGTGATAAAAGTTGGCAGGAGGTAACTGTACACTGAAAAGGTTGTCAGGATGGGCCTCAGACCTGGGCTGGATTTGAACTTGGGAGCCTTCCTAATTCACACCTTTCAGTGATTCCCTGATTTCTCGAGCAGCCCAGGGCAGTGGGGTGGAGGAAGCTCAGCTTGCCTGCAGCCATGAGGCATCACCTGGACTTGACAGGCTCACACCCTCTTCCTGGTCTTCAGCATCTGGTGGTGTCCCTGCAACCAAGCAGGAACTGCCACTGGGAGAGGGGGCTAAATCCCATTGAGGGGCAGGGATGAAAACGAACTGATTCACATACCTATACCCTACCACTCCCGGTGATAATGAAAGCAAAGAAAAATGATGCAGAGAGGGGTGAAGCGTTTAGGGTGGGTGGGGAGTGGTCAGGGGGTGCTCTGGGGAGGTTCAAGGGCAGGCACCTGAGCAAGAACATGAGTCTGTGCCCTGAGGCATAGCTCAGGGATAGCAGGTGGAGGGGAAACACCTGGGCCCATGGCCAGGAGCTGGGGTTCAGTCCTGCAGGGATAGCAAGAGAATGGGGGACCAGGGGACCCAGAGTTCTGACAGTATTCTCCTCCCTCTCAACACTTAGCCCCCAGAACAGTGGTCAGACACCCCACGCTTCACTCTCCTCAGGATCTGGGGATCGGAACCTGCTTCCCCATCTTTCAGGGATGAGTCCAGTTGCTCCCTCAGACACCTCACAGAGAGGGGTTCACCATGAGTGCGGTGAACATCTTTTGTTGTTTTAGGGGCGCACATCCTCAAACCCATCTTCCTGTCATCTTGAGCTTGTCAGACTAATACTCTGCATTTTTGTCTCCTTCAGGGCTCTTGTTCGGGGTCGGTATAAGGTTGCATCTTATGGGGAAGAAGAACTCTGGGTATGTGGGGATTCATAGGCCAGGGGGACCAGGAATTGGCAATGGTAAGGAGCTCCCAAATTCTAGTTTTGCCATATTTGAAAGTACTTGTTAAAAGACTATCAGTGACTACAAATGGTTTTTTACAAAAGGAAGTAATATTTAGCAGCAAAGAATCTGATGGATAGGGCAAAATTTCTGCTTAGAAAGCACTCTCGGGCTGGAGTGATGGCACAGAGGGTAGGACTTTTGCCTTGCACGCAGCCGACCCAGGTTCGATTCCCAGCATCCATATGGTCCCCCGAGCACTGCCAGGAGTAATTTCTGAGTGCAGAGCCAGGAGTAACCCCTGAGCATCGCTGGGTGTGACCCAAAAAGAAAAACAACAACAACAAAAAGAAAACGCTCTCTGTGCCAGAGAACTAGGACAGTGGGTAAGGCACTTGCTTTCCATGTGGTCAGTATTGGTTTGAGTCCTTGGCACCATATACTGTCCACCCCAGCACTGCCGAGAGTGACCCCAGAGCACAGAGCAAGAAGTGAAGTCTTAGAATGTTAGGGATATGGTGCTTACCCCCCCACCCCCCACCACCCGCCAACACAATCAAGAAGACAAACCAAAAACTAATTAAATGAAAGCTCGCTCTGCGGTAGCTATCTCTGCCTCTCTGTGCTTTTCTTTCCCTCTGTCTGCCTTTCTCTCTCTCCCTCTCTCCCCCTCTTTCCGTCTGCTTCCCTCCCTCCTCATCTCTCTCTCTCTCTCTCTCTCTCTCTCTCTCTCTCTCTCTCTCTCTCTCTCTCTCTCCCTTTGGCTTCCTCTGATGCGCCTGGACACTAATGCTGGCCCAGGTGGCGCTTGAGCCACCGGAAGAGGGGAGTTGCGAGTCTGACCTGCGGGGACGATGACCCTGCGCTCGTTCGTGGTCATGTTGGGGGGTGCCATGTGCTTGTCCTCCATGTAGCTGCCGTAGTTCATGCCCACCGTGTCCGGGCTGCCCACCATCTTCCCGCCTTTGGCCACGCTGCATTCATCGGGGGAGTTCCTGGGGAAAACCAGACACAGGCCACCATTAGATTGAGAAGCATACCACCCTGTCAGGTACGCACTGCCCCATCAGGTACACGCAGGTACATGCTACCCTCTTGGGTACATGCCACTCCGTCAGGTACACGCTGCCATGTCAGGTACATGCAGATACACACCACTCTGTTAGATAAATGCCACTTCGTCAGGTACATGCTTCCCTGCCAGGTATATGCAGGTACACGATTCCCTGTCAGATACATGCAGGTACACACTGCCCTGTCTGATACACGCAGGTACACACTGCCCTGTCAGGTACACGTAGGTACATGCCATCCTGTTAGATAAATGCCACTCCGTCAGGTACATGCTGCCCTGTCAGGTACACGCTACCCTATCAGGTACACATAGGTACACACTGCCCTGCCAGGTACACACAGGTACATGCTGCCCTTTCGCATGCACACCACCCTGTCAGATGCATATCACTGCTAGGCCACAGGAAGCACACCACCCCATCATCCAGCAATTCTCAGAGAAAACCAGAGAAGCCACAGGGAGGGAGAGGGAACCAAGGAGGAGCAAGGCGGCATGCAACGAAGATGGTGCTGTCAAGGGCAAGCCGTGTGTCCCTTCCATGGCCTGGTGGCAGTGTGACACCATTGGGCCATCAGATCAAGCCTACAGAAGAACCCGGAGACTTCTGTTTCATCTTCGCAAACTCCACCCCATGCACAATGTTTCATGTTCTCAGAAGCCCCCATATCTCCTTTGGATTGTAGCCCAACAGCTAAGACCTTGATAACTGGGGGTCCTGTCCCAAATGCACAGACCCTCTCTGGTCTCCCCCACTGCTTATTGATAGGACTTTGGGAGCCAACTAGTGAAATCCTCGAAGTAGAAGCCTGGCCTAAACTTGACTTCACATGTGAGAGGGTCAGAATCGAGAGAGGCAAGAGGGCACTCAGGCGGGCGGGAGCTGAGATGGACTGGAGAAAGTCATTCATATGCAAAGGCCATGGGCAGGGTGTGGACCAGAAGAGCTGACCACCAAGGGAGCTGGGCCCAGTCCAGAGTTGGTTTGGGATCTGGGAACTCTCCAAATACAGGCTTGTTCTCAGCTATACTTGCACAGGTATCTGGAACGAGCTCAGCCCTGATGAGAAGAAGCCCCCATTCCATCTGGGGATGGAGATTACACTCTGTCTCACCATGCTTTTACCCTGGGCTCAAAATTACACAGCCCTGCTTGATGGTGTCTCACAGCTGTACTAACATGAAGGCCACTTAAAAATAATAACAGCGTGAGTTCCCCTGGCGTCACCTACACATGCATTATTTCCTCTTGATGCTATTTTTCCTGGCTTCAAGCGTTTATCTCGACAAGACCCATCCTAATATCAAAACACTGAAATGTCTTCACTTGAGACTTAGTTTCCGATCCCTTTGGAAAATTCCATGAGTGGGACTGTTTTGGTCTATTTGCTGCAAGAAGAGAAGTTACTAGGGAAGAGAGTTAAAGGGATTTAGTTATTTAGAAAGAGAGGCTTTACTGCTCAGGTAACGAATTGAGCCCAAGTGACAACCACAGAGTCTAGGATAAAGCCAGCTCTGATTCATTCATTCATATGTCTAGGTCATTTTCAATAAGTGCTTATTATGTACCAGGTACCGTAAATTCTTTCTTCTTCCACTGGGCAGCTAACAATATTAAAAACCTAATGGCCAAAGAGATGTATAGAATTATAGGAAGAGGAGACATTGGCAAGTAGATCCTTTCCTCCAATTCTTTGATTTTCTTCTTTTTACTCTTCATAGTTTTATTTTCCATCATGATCACGATCATCCTGCTGTTCGTTGATTTCCTCGAGGAGGCACCAGTAACGTCTCCTTCTTCCTAGCCCTGAGATTTTAATAGAGCCATTTCAATGCTCTTTCAGGATTAGGAGAATGAAACCCATCACTATTACTGGTATTGGCATATTGAGTACGACATGGGAAGTTTGCCAGATTCTGCCGTGTGGGCAGGATACTTTTGGTAGCCTGCCAGGTTCTCCAAAGGAAAAATAAGATAATAAGATGTCGCGCAGCCGCATTCCCAGCTTCCGGGAGCTGGGTTTTATAGTCTCTGCGTCTTGGCCGTTGATGGGACCAACCTGGCACTGGTGGCAGCTGGTGGGTGTGATGCCTACCTACTGGAAGATGGGGGGTCTGGTTGGAGAAGGCCCAGTCCCAATCCGAGTAAGCTTGGAGACCTCAGCCCCGGGACCCACATGCCTGGGTTCCTCTGCCAGTTCTTTCATGCATGAGGCCTGTCCGGACGTGTGGAGAGTGGTCCCAGCATGGCCGTGGACGGCTCCGGAGGTCCTCAGCTGCTGGGGCTCTGCTCGGGGTCGGGGGGGGGGGGGGGAGAGAAACTCAACCCTCCCCCCTCCAAGGGGCCCCGGTGAGGACATATTTTCCATATCTAAAAATAAGAGCTACAGACGGAGATCACACAATTCCCTGCCTGGAATTAAAATAAAACCTCATCAAATCCAGTATCTAGAAGAGCTTGTAAACCGCATCTTACCAAAGCTTTCCCAAAATGTGCAATTTTTTTTGGAGGGGGGGGTGAGCTTTCAGTAGGAAACTTTGTTTTCATCTGACAACCCCAAGATAAAATTTCCCTCATTAAGTTTCCCACAGAGCACAACCAGACCCTATTTTCCAAACCTCAAGACAATGAAATAGTCTTTTCTCTGTTTTAGGTTCAGTGGAAGATAGAATGGACCCATAATTTTTAATCATCTCAAGACTTTTTTTTAAAGAAAATCAATCTAAGGGAATTCAAAGGATGGAACAAAGTCCCTCCACAGTGTTGCCAACATGCTGGACTCCAAGGAAGTCTGATTCAATGGAAACTCACTTCCTCTGCTATATCCTCTTGGGAATGCCAACAGCCCATCTGGAGCACACACCTGTGGGTACCTGGCCTGCTCAGAGAGCTTCCTAAGCAGTGACCAGTCCTCTCAACGTTCTGGCGAGGTGGAGATTGAGAGTTCTCCCTTCTTCAGAGGTTAAAAAGAAAACAGGTCACAAACAACCTGGGAATCTGAGTTCTGCCGGTTGGCAAAGAATCCCAGCCCACAGACCTCCACCAAGCAAATGGCAGGAATCTGTCTTGGAAGAGAAACCCAAACCCTCATTTCTGAAAGGTTTTAGGAGCTCCTGATTCACATGGTGCGCAGTTTATAGGGGAAACATCACTGTCCACAAATGATTCCCATCCTAGGACTTTATCCTAGACCCGAGACCTGTTCAGCCCTCTGGGAACAGCAGATAGGGGCCATCTAGGGTGAGGTATAAAGACCTCAGTCGAAAAGAGACTCAATGCCTGGAGAAGAAAAGCAGTTTTCCAGGGGTATCCATTTAGACACGGATTGAAACAAATAATAATAACTTATTGTGATTCAGAGGACATTTAGAAGAATCATTGTGAATGCATTTCAGCTCCTTGCCCAGGTATGATAAGGAAAGAGCCACAAAACAGAAACCCTCCTCCTTCCCGCATGCACACCCCTTCATTGTGCATTTTCCCAGGCTGCCCACTCCCCACCTCCCCAGAGCTCCACACTACTCCTGCACAGAGTGTGCATAATGGAGGCACAGGTGTTCTCTGCTCCAGCACGATAAGGATGGGGCCGTCCTCTGCACGGCTCCCAAAAGGCACAGAGAAAAGAGCATCCTTCTGAATGGTGCATTCTCAGCATCCTGCGTGTTTTGCGCTAGCAATGGCAAAGTCTAAGGCTTGTTTATTATAAGCTTGCAAATTGGATGATCATGTGGTGATTATAAAATGTTTCTATCCTCTCATTTGGAGCATAGATTTCTTTATGGCCATAGAGCCTGGTACAGCTCTCTGAAACTCTTTTAAGGGAATACCAAAATTACTGTACATATCAAAATTGCATGGAGCTGTCACTTCATCTCTGACAGGAGGGCGACTATTTAAGAAGTGATAAGAAGCACTGCTGAGGGTGTGGAAAAGCCAGAGCCCTTTGCACTGTTGGTGGGATTGCAAAAAGGATTTAGCTCCCAGGGAAAACAGTGTGCAGGTTCTCTGTAAGTTAAAGAGAAATGGCCGACCCGAGTTCGATTCCTCCGCCCCTCTCAGAGAGTCCAGCAAGCTACGGAGAGTATCTCGCCGCACGGTAAAGCCTGGCAAACTACCCGTGACGTATTCAATATGCCAAACACAGTAACAACAAGTCTCACGATGGAGATGTTACTGGGCCCGCTAGAGCAAATTGATGAACAATGGGAGGACAGTGACAGTGACAGTGACCCCTGGATCTAGGAATCCCACAGGTGGGTATTTATGTAAAAGAACTGAAATCAAGATCTCAAAGAGTTCAAAGTTCACCACAATCTGAGTATCAGCCAAGATGCAGAGATAGTATTGCTAGAAACTTAACAAGTGATCGGTCTTGTTGTTAAGGACATCGAGAAAGAAAAAGCAAAGCAATTAGACCTTTGACTCCACCCAAGGTGAGAAGTCAGGCATGGTCACACTTGAGTGGGTGCTCCTAGGGCTTTTAAACCCAAGGACTGACTTGTTCCCGGCATCCTCATCCTCATGAACTCCCCTCCTTCTAGAGCATTCTATGGGAATGTTCAGGTGTTTACATAACACCATCCATTTCCTAGGGAGAGTTAGATTTACGTGTCAACGTGGTGGTCTGGGTCTGGAGCGTCCCCAAACACTCACATAGTTTGGGGAAAGGCAGGGGAATCAAATGGCACATATGGAATGAAATGGTTCATCTCAGAATGGAAAGGGAAGCAGGAAAGCAATTACCCCAGAGCTAAGATTTAGCATCTGGGGTAAACCTAGAGGTTTGCTACCGCTAGAACATCAATTTATCCTGAGTCGCCCATTAACCCAAGCAAGGAAGAGAAGGCTACAATAGAAGGTGGGGAATGACCAGGATGATTGGGGCATTGAACAGAAGCAACACTTGCCCTGCGCTGGGACTG